GAATTCTTGTGAATCTAAATGCTTAGTATACACTAATACACACACAAACATATATGTATAGGCATATGTATATGCATATATAAAATGCTGTGATAAAACAGAGGAAAAGAGATTCAGAGATTCCAAAGTGACTTCAACCATGTGGGGCATATACACACACATAATCATACAAACATATACACAAGCACACACACACACAAACAGATAGACAGACACACACAGAGACAGACATAAAGTTAAGTATTCATTATCTGTCACATTTCCTAATTTGTTGAGTGCACTTGCTTTGTTTTCTGTGTCCCCACTATCTATCTTCCCATAAAGTATAGTTGTACTATTCTTTACTACAGTAGTTCTTGAATTAGGTGGGTCATCATGTGACTGACCTGATTTTATTACCTTTTTTGTAGTGATCGCTAGCAAATGATGTATTTGTAAAGCAACAGCTATGGTACTGTGCGTTCCCTAAAATAATACCCGGTCTTATTTTCTTTTTGCCTCCAAAAGAGGCACCAGGTCTTATTTGGGGGGTGTGCCTTTTCTACTTAACTCGTGGTGGTGGCACCAACAGCCCCACCCACTTTTTCTGTGGTTGAAGGAGCAGCTTCATTCTGCAGCTGAGAATAGAGCTCCGGCCTGCATTTTACAGTTAGAGACCCCCAGAAGGGAATGGGACAACTTGCCACAGCCAACTCACTGTGGCCAACTTGCCAAAACCAACTCACCACAGCCAACTACACACAGCCAACTCACCACGGGACAACTCGCTATGGCCAACTCACCATGAGACAACTCACTGAGGACAATTTAACAATTCTATTTAATTATTTAAAATAAATTTTAAAATATTTTAATTTTTATACTATTCACATATTATTCTGTCCTTCCTTTTGCATCCTTTCTTTAATGATTCTTTTTCATAATTTCTTTGATATTAGTGTAACTTTTGTCTTGCAATGAGTTGTCCCACAGTGAGTTAGCCATAGCGAATTGTCCAGGAGTGAGTTGGTCGTGGTGAGTTGGCTATGATGAGTTGCCCGTGGTGAGTTGGCTATGACAAGTTGTCATAGACCCTTCCAGAAAGCCTCTGCAGCCAAGGACTGAGCTACGGATTGAAGCCATAGTTGCTTCTCGGCTGCAGAGGCCTTCTGGAAAGACCTCTGACTGCAAAATATAGGCCAGAGCTCCATTCTTAGCTGCAGAATGAAGCTGCTCCTTCGGCCATTGAAGAAGTGGCCAGCGAGGCAAGTGTCAATCCATGGGAAGCCTGGATGCAATGGTAAGCTCCACCCTCCCACCTCAGCTTGATTTTTAGGTGTGCACCTCACTCCAAAACTAGAGTTTATTTTTGGGCTAGAGCTTATATTAGGCCCACCCTGAAAAATCAACTTAGGACTTATTTTCAGGGTAGGTCTTACTCTCGGGGAAACACAGTAGTTAAGCGAATACTGCAATCATTAAGTGAACCCATTGTTCATTATGTGGCATTTTTGCCAACTAAATGGCAAACTTTGCCTGTTTTTGGCAAAGATGTTATGTAACTGCAGGAGACTGCAAAGTGCCATAAATGTGGGCTAGTTGGAAAGTGCCAGAAAACTGATCACATCACCATGGGGCAGGCAGAGTCAGAACTTCAGAACCAAGTCCTAAGTACATTTTGAGGGAGTTCGTCATAAATTCAAAAGATCGCTAAGTGACTCAAGAGCTGCCTGTATTAACAGCTGGTTACAGGGGATCAAAAGAATGACCCTGAACCCTAAAGGCAAAAAATGAAAGATGGAATCCTTTTTAACAATAGTTAAAAGGGATCCAAGTTGGGAAAATAAACACTTTTGCAACTTGAAGGAGCTACCGTATATATTGAGAACTGTGGAAACTGACAGATTATAGCTCATATTCCTTCAAGTTGTGAACAGAAAACTGTGTCAAACACTATTCTTTTGCTTTCAGAATTCAGAATAACAAAATAATAGAGTTGGAAAAGAGCTTGAAGGACTTATAGTCCAACCCCTTGTTCAGGTAGGAAACCATATACAATTTCAGACAAATTATTGTCTAATCTCTTGTTAAAAACCTCCAGTATTGGAGCACCCACAATTTCTGGAGGCAAGTCATTTCACTGATTAATTGTTCTGACTGTCAGAAATTTCTCCTTAGTTCTAGGTTGGTTCTCTCCTTGATTAGTTTCCATCCATTGCTTCTTGTCTGCCTTCAAGTGCTTTGTGCAGTCCCTTAGATATTGGAATACTGCTATCATGACACCCCTAGTCCTTTTTTTCACTAAACCAGACATATCTAATTCCTGAAACTGTTCTTCATAAGTTTTAGCCTCCAGCTAAAGACAAACAATATGTAGAGTGTAGATCTTTTCTTTTATTTAAATATGGCTCCAAAACTGATACTTTATCTCTTTGGGTTAAATTAGGGTTAAATATTTGTGTTGTTGCAATCTGGAATTTTTCAAGAGTAAGTCATACATTATAGAAGGAAAGTTGCATAAATGAAGAGGAGTTCAGAAAAGAACATCTTCCCTGTATAATTTTTAAGATTAATTGTCTGTTACTTCTCTGTTTATAATTTCACTTCAATATTATTATTTAATTTACCTAATTTTTTCTATTTAAAAAAGATGTTCTCTTATATTCATTGCATTGTATACTGAACAATAATGAGTGATTTATTTTATACACTGTGATTTACATGAATTATCATAGTTATGTATTTGCATATTTAACAGATATTCCAGAAAAATTAATCCTGCCCACCCATCATAGTATTTTAAAATAAAGTTTCTTTGTCTTGCGAAACACTGCATATGATTGATTCTGGGGGGGGGAACATACCCACAAAACAGACAAGTATGCACACATAAATCAAATCAAAACAACAACAACCAATCCTGATGCCTTCTTTATTTCTTAAATTTATACGCTGCTCATCTGATTGTTACAGTGGCATAATAAAAAAGATAAAACAAAACAATTAAAATTACAAAAGTTTTCATGAACAGTAAAAAACAAGAGGATAAGTGACATGGGTGTGGGAATCTTCTCTCTACCTCCATAACATGGAGCTTCAGCACAAATCTAAAAGCTTGGAAGACTAAATCTCTGGTTCCCATGACCGATTCAGATGGAATCCTGCAAAAACATTTAACCTGATACATTCAAATGCTCAGTATCTTTACTAGACTAAGTTTTGACATTACATAGTATCAGAATATTTATGATTTGCTTTACATCAGTCAGGGCTGGCTTTGGTCAAACAAAACAATCCAATACCATAGAGAGAAAAATGAAGCTACTTTTTGGGTGAATTGCCTAATTCATACTTAGCGCCAAGATAAATTCAGTCCTGCCCTTTTGAACACATTGCTCTCTGGAATGAGATCAGTTCCCACCCTCCTGGCCTTCTGAAAGAGCTTAAAGACCTGACTTTGCCAACTGGCCTGGGGCTCCGCTAGGGGACTGATTGATAGATTAACAACAGTTCTCACTTTCCCCCCTACTTATAGCAATACACTTAGACTTATATATCACTTTACAGACCTTTCTAAGCAGTTTACAGAGTCAGCATATTGCCCCCAATAATCTGGGTCCTCATTTTACCGACCTCAGAAGGATGGAAGGCTGAGTCAACTTTGAGCTGGTCAGAATAGAACTCCTGGCAGTCAACAGAATTACCCTGCAATATTGCATTCTAACCACTGTGCTCTTTCCTACTCCTTTCCTCCCTATCTTTTAATTATAGCGAATAATTTGTAGTTTGATGGTGTTTTTATTCTTATTATATACATGTTTTTGTACAATTTTATTCTTTTTAATGTTATCAGCCTCCTAGGGTCACCTCATGGTGAGACAGACAGTAAACAAATATAATAGATAGATAGATAGACAGACAGACAGACATTTTTTTAATATGTATTGACATTCTTCCTTTGCATTAATTTTGGGGAGTCCATATTAAGGATTGAAAAAAATAATTTGTTAAGTGAAATGTGAGTAAGATGATTCTAGTGTAATTTGCTTCTAGAAGAGAATTGCAATTTATGGAAAATCTAGCTTGCGAGGGAAGGCATGAATGATATGTAAAGTGAGGGTACAGTTTCAAAGTAGGTATAGCTGTACTTTGGATTAATGCTCTTTTGAGCAAACACATTGGTAGCAAGACACTCAACACCAAACAAATTTAAATTCTAACATGAAAATCCGTTGTGGGTGTACACACAATACATCTTCATACCAATATTACCAAATTTGGCAGAAGTTCAGGGAAGAATTTTTTTCTTCTTTATGCTACTCTTCAGAATCCCAATGATTCACCTTTCCCCAATAGATAGGATTTGGTGAAGCTAAAAGAAAGGTAGAGAAAAATTAATCATTCAAAGGAAGGAGTTACAGTAGATCAAATTAATGTCAGGAATGTCTTCTCCAATCATTTGCTTATTTGAGTAATTGTGCCAGCTTCAGAAAAAAAAAGTCTGATTAAGAAACTACAAATACCAAAGAACTGTAAAATTTAAGAAGATATGTCTAGAAGAAGTATTATATATAAAAACATTATTAAGTTTATCTTACCTTCATACAAAATGTCTGGTATATCTCAGTAACAAATTTTCCTAGTAGTGCTCCTTCTCAATCTTCTGAGTGAAGTTCTCATCAATGAACATCTCTGGCCATAGAGATACATTTAGTTTTCCACTGATTTGCATTTCCCCCTTTATTATTTGGAGAACATTAAACTTTCTTAGCATATCATTGAAAAATGGAAAGAAAAGTACCCAAAGTTACCAGTATTGGGCATACCAGTCTGCATTGTCAAACATTGTGATGTATCTTCCAGAATCACTCCAAAATGAGGAGATCAACAATGCAGCTTCACTGAAACAGTTCTGGAGAATGTGGCTAGGGTGGGAACACTGTTCCTGCCACCTGTAAGAGTTGAAATTCAACATTGCTTAAATATTTTTGAGTCTTTTACATCAATCTATAATTGGTCAATCACCTGCAAAATACATTCTTCAAAATATCCCTGATGTCCTTGTTTCTTAATGTATAAATAAAAGGGTTCAGAAGTGGGACCAAAATTACACTGAAGACACTTACTAACTTGTTTTTTTGTAAAGAAATCTCTTTAGAAGGCTTTACAAAGAGGAATATGGTGGAGCCATACCAAATGATCACAACAGCAAGGTGTGAAGAACATGTGGAAAAAGCTTTTTGTCGACCTTTGGTGGAAGGAATGCGTAGGATTGTGGAAATAATGTACATATAGGAAAGAAGGGTCATCATACAGGAGCCTACAATGACAATAATAGCCATGAAAAAAAATGTTATCTCAATGAAACGTGTATTTGTACATGAGAGTATGATACAAGAATCAAGGTTACAATAGAAATTATTGATCACATTGGGCCCGCAGAAGGACAATGTTGTAACCATGTATACAGGTATGCAAATAAGAAGGAAGCTCCCCAGCCAACATCCAAGAGCTACCTTAAAAGATAGGTTGATAGTCATGATGGTGCTGTAATGCAAAGGATAACATATGGCCAAATATCTGTCATAAGCCATTGTAGCTATCAAAAAATGTTCAGTGCATCCAAAAGAAAACATGAAATATAACTGCAGAATGCAGCCAGAGAAAGAGATACTTCTGCTTCCCCCCAGAAGGATGGCAAGGATCTTAGGGACAGAGGCTGTTATGAACCATATTTCCAAAAAAGCAAGATTGTAAAGGAAAATGTACATGGGAGTGTGGAGTTGTTGATATGTTATTATGAGAAGGATGATGGAGAGATTCCCTAAGATGGTCAGAATGTATATATTTAAAAAAAATATGAAGATGGAGAGCTGAAAATGTGGTGAGCCAGGAAAGCCAAGAAGAATAAATTCTGTAACCCTTGTGGTATTTAGTTGTCCATGGTTGAGCTCCTCCATCTGAAATGGGAAAAAAATGCCAAATTTATGAGCAGAAGATTTCACTGAAATGTAACAGTACTAATCTTTATTTATGCTATAGCATCTGCACCAACAATATGAATTATTTTACAATATTACATTTTTTCTGCTCCTTTCATTTTTAAATCTCTTAATATATCATGATTTGTATTAGTGACTTTGATATTTTTATGAGCAATAGCAAAATGATTTTTAGAAATATCAACAGAGTAATATTTGCTATATGGCATGGTTTGAAATGAAAGCTGATGAAAGACTTTTCATTAAAAGGAAAATGATTGTTAATATATTTATCAACCAAGTTATGTGAAATTCTCTTACTTATCATAGTTCTGTCTTATTTGGGAAAATGCAACAAAACCTGAAAATATAATAAAATGTATACGTATATATATAAAACCCTCTCAACATATCCTGCAATAAAATGTCATGACTTTTCTGAATATGAAACAATTGGATCTTTGCCTTCCAAAACTGAAGAAGATATTTTAATAATATCCCATATTCAAGCATTGGTATTTTTGTAGTTTCTTACCTCCTTTAACTCAGTTTGCAGATGAGGCCAAGATTGGCCGGCCGGGACCTGTCACGAGATCTAGGAGCCGTGCGCAGACATGACTGTATTTATAAGCAAGCTCTCCCACAATCCTGATTATACCCTGACGATGATGGCAGTTTTAGGCCATCGAAAGCTTGGTTTTATTTATTAAAACTGTATTGTTTTATACTTCCTGGTGATCACTTTGTTGTATTTTAAAAATATACATATATATACATTTTACTGCAGGATATGTTGAGAGGTGTGTGTGTGTGTGTGTGTATATATATATATATATATATATATATATATATATATATATATATATATATATATATATATATATATATATATATATATAACCTCTCAACATATCCTGCAGTAAAATGTCATGACTTTTCTGAATATAAAACAATTGGATATTTGCCTTCCAAAACTGAAGAAAGTATTTTAACAATATCCCATATCTCTTGGGATGAGATCAGAAACTGGCCCAAAAAGTTTGTATAGTTTCTGATGACATAGCAAAGATATAGTAACTAGTGGGTTAGGTCTTCCACTGCTGTGGGGTTAGGGTATACAGTACTCTCAACAATGATACTCAAATTATATTTATCTGTTTCTGTTCAACTAAATAATACACTCAAGATTCTATCTGAACAGATTTTTGCTGAAGTCTAATAAGGATAAATGCTTGTGGGTTTTAGATTGCTATTATGCTAGGAATTTTCCAGCTTTAGATCTTCATCGGTTGGAATGCTACCATGCTTGACCATAAGTAGGGCTTCCCAATCCACAAATAGGAAAAAAAATGCCCCACAAGATAAACTTCTGCAAAAGTTTTCCTGACTTTAGCTGCCAATGGTTCTGCTAGTAGAAGCTATAAATACAATTGATGCATAATTTGGGGTCCAATTGTACTTACAGCTCCTTCTAGAAGAACCATTGGCAGGTATAGTCAGGAAAATCTTTTCAGAAGTTTATTTTGCGGACCAGTTTTTCCTATTTGTGGATTGGGAGGCCCTGATCATGGTCAAGTATACCTTGGTGACATCTCATTTGAATTAGTGGAATGTGCTTTACATAAGTCTGTGTTACAACTGAAAGTACAACTGATTTAAAGTGCATTGGCATGGGTCATTATAGGCATGCCTGAATATACCCATGTTACACCATCAGTTTATAAACTGCACTATTTCTAATAATTTCTGGGTACAATTCAACATATTCTTATTATTTATTCACTTCATAGCACAGCCCAGAATTATTGACAGAATCACTTATCTTGTATTAGCTCTGCTTGCCCTGATGGATCTGTCAGCTTTGGTATGCTATTTGATGGGTCCCAGAAATTTGTTTCTTTGCCATGGTGCTCATCTTGTGGAACAAGTTATCCCTCAAGATTTTATTGGTTCCAATATTACTGCCCCCTTTTTATTGTCTGAAAGCCTGCTGTTTTCTTCAGTTTTGTGTCAGTGTATTGACTGAACTCATCTCTAGGAATCATGGAAGTATATCGATTAGTGTCTTCCCTTGTCACTTGTTTTTTTCTGTTTAGTGTGTGAGAGAGTAAGTGTGCACTTAATTGTTTTTAATGCTGCCCAGAGTTGTTGTGAATTGGAAGCCTCTAAAATGAATGAATGAACGAACTAGAAAATATATGGAATCAGTGATTAAAAAACCAAGAACATAATATTAGGTCCCAAAATGTATGGGTAATTAGCTGTACTTGCATGGATTTATTGATTGATTAAGATTCTCTAATCTGGGACTTCCGGTGGCAGGCGCCTTCGCTGGATGCAGCTGTTTGCTGCTCCCGCCTGTTTCTGCGTAAAAGCCGTTTTGACAGCCTGCATCAGCTGTCAAACGGCTTGATACCTTTCCCCTGGGCATAGGGGGAAAGGTGAGCTGCCCGAGGTAGGAGTTGAGTTCCCGAGTCGTCCCTTGTGGACGATGTAGGTGAGAAC